ATATGAAATGACTATAGATTTCCCTCTGGGCTCTGAAATGTATTTAATTTTCTCAAATGAAATACACTATTGGCCTGTACCATGACAGCCATGCTCATGATGTGAGGTGCTCCTAAGTCACTGTTCTGTGGAGAGACTGGCAGCTCTTCTGCATGGTCACACACATTGCAACTTTATGAACAATCTGACCATAAAATGAGTGTTATGCCAAGTCCACTGGCTTCTCCATTGACCTCGGGAGGTAAGACAGACTTCTTCTAAAAGCAGGAGTAATTATCCTTTACCAACCTAGAAAGAGAAGCAGCTTTGTGGGAATCTCTAAATTTTATTATTTATCAAGTTGGTATGGGTTTTCCCTGGAAAATTTAAATTTGGAGCAATTGCTCTTCATTTGGACACAAATAAAGCATTTGAGCTGGAGGAGGGGGAGAGTCAGAGCATGAAAGAAAGAAAAATAAAGGTATAATGTCAGAAAGCGAGACTCACAAGACTCACATCTTCACAGGTTTTCTGTTGTATAATGGCAGTGTATTTGGAAAAGCGCCACACCCAATTTGGAAACAATGAGACATTTCCCTTGCTGTGCTGTGCACACAGGCACAAGGGAAAATGTGATTGTCATTCATAAAACAGGCAAACAGGGAGAAGATCTTTAAATCTCTGAAGCTCAGATATTAGATTACATTTCCCTTCTGTGGTTGAAGACAATAGGATACATATGTAGTTACTTTTCTGCCAAGGTCCCATCTGGTATCCCTACTCTGATCTGTTCATTTTACTTTCAGTAATGGCTCATAGTTTCTTAGATTTGTCTTGCCCCATCCTTTTACTGATAAACACATAAGTAAGAAATATCAAAGCTAGGCTGGGGAAATGACTCAGTGGTTAAGAGGTTGCTACACAAGCATGAGGACCAGAGTCCAGATCCCTGGCACCCACATGAAAGCGGGAAGGGTATGGCAACTTCCTGTAATCCCAGCAGTTTGGAGACAGAGAGAAGGGATTCCCAGGGCTAGATGCCCAGCTTGACTAACCAAGTCAGTGAGCTCTGGGTTTAGCAAGATATCCACCTTGGTAAACAAGGTAGAGAGTTGTCATGGAAGAAACTTGACAGTCACCTCTCTGAACTCTACATACATCTACCCCCATACATGTGTACATGCATACTCTCACATGCATCACACACACACACACACACATACACACACACACACACACACACACATACAGAATAGCAAATGAGAAATAATGACACTGTCAACAGTCCCTGTGGTGAGATTTCCCTTCTGGTGCAGATTACATTTTAAAAGCTATATACTATGAAATTTCTGGTACTCTGCTAAGCAAATACACCCAGTGACATATCCTGGTTGCCAATGTCCCTAATTATCATGGTCACAATGCAGTGTGGAGTTACAGTATTGATTCTGGGACTCTAACAGCACCTCAACCTGTCACATTCAAATGACAAGGGCAGTGCTGAGGGGTGCATTATCCCTTTATAGAAGATGCAGCCTATGTCTGGTATACAGGAAGTACTCACAACTAGTGATACAATGCTGAATGATGCTCTACTTTGACTGAAAGATCCTCTGGTGGCCACAGTATCCAAACAGACACACAAAAATTGGTATTTAAGCAATGCCACACTCAGTCTGTTCCAGTGAAAATGAACACTCCAATGACGATACCTCTCTGCCTAATAAACATAAGCATGATGTAGTGTCTTGAAATTTCTGAGGGCCATTTTAAGTGTGATTGTTAGTTTTAATTGTCAACTTGACAAAATCCAGAATCACTTAGGAAGAAAGTCTCAGTGAAGGATTGTCTTGGTCAGGTTGGTCTGTGGCACGTCTGGGGAATTGTCTTGATTACATTAATTGAAGTGGGAAGACCCATCCTAAATGTCTGTGGCACTATTCCCCAGACTTGGGTCATGGACTATATAAAAGAGGAGAAAGTGAGCTGAGAGTAAGCATGCTTGCATCCATTCTCTCTTTGCTCTTGACTGTAGGTACAAGTAGCTGCTTCAAATTCCTGCCTCTACTTACCCCAATGGTAGGTTATAACCTGGAATTATAATATGAATAAACCCCTTTTCTCCTAAGTTGCTTCTCCTGGGATAATTTATCACAGCCCCTAACCAGGAAACAAGGAACTGTCTATGCAAATCTTTTTTCATTCACTCATTCTTTCATCCATTCCACAGTTGTATGACGCAAAATGGGAATGTTGGGACTTAGTTTTGGCCAGCAGACATTTCCAAGTGTGCTAGTCACTGTATGCTCAACAGTGAAATGTAAACCAACAGACTAAAATGATCTCCTCCAACAGCTTGTGTCTCTTTCTTTTTATCAAGTGCATTAAGATAGACTCAGTAGAGCACAGCAGCATCCCAGATGGTCTTCCTGGAGAGACCCATGACAGAGCAGAGGCTCTTACCACAGCTGACCTGGCTGTAGCTGCAGATCAAACAAGCTGTCTCCAGCCTTTCCTGATGCATGTACATTCATTGTACTTGTGATAAACCTAAAAGGCCTGGTAATAAAAACTCACAAACCCAGTTTTCAACTTGCACAATTTGATCTCATCTTTTGTCCATATGATAGCTAAATAGCTACATGAAATTTACATGAAAATGTTAAAAAGAACCTTCAAACTTTAGATTACCCTACAGTCAGAAAGATTCATAAATACTGCCTAAAGATAAATTAGACATTCATGTGTGGAGTATAATTTATGAAAACTGCAAAATACTTGAAATGATTTTACCAAAAAAAAGATACTCATCCTGATGAGTAGCAAATTTCCGCCAAGAATGAAAACACGGTATTTAAATAGAACCAAAAACCTACATGAAGTAGTAAATGTTTTCTTGGTAAATCTTATTACTTATATGATTTATTAGTTAAGCAAAGGACCTGTAATCATAAACTTATTTTAAGTCACTTGTATCTTTTATTCTGTTGGCTACAGAAAATATGACTGATGAAGATATATGTATTGCTAATTTGGAAATGAGAAAAGATGACATTCTCACATTCTATCATGACTGAACTTTTTTCCTTTAGGTATGTTTTTAGTGATAATGCTCTCAGATTTAAAAGTTATACAAGATCCAATTTAAAGGAAGAGAATAAGAAATGCCCATTGAATGGAGATAGAATTGCATTACTAGTGGTAAAGGTATAGAGTATGGATATTTAGAAAGTACATTAATTAAAAAACAACCATAGAGAAAGAAAGTTAGAAAGGTATAGCAGCAAATTCTGTCATTTATTTACAACCCTGTTCTAAGCATCTGAACCTCAAATTTTACATAGAAACACATTCTTAGCTTTTACAGTGTTATGATGTCTGAAACATTAAAGCTCTACTTTGATTTTAAAGCTTGGCATTACCTACTACGTAACTCATTTTTCAAAATACTATTTTCAAAATACTAGGCTGATATGGTTAAAGTACCATCACTCTCTCTTTCATTATCTGCATCTGCGTCTCTCTCTTTGTCTCTGTCTCATACACAAACACACACACACACACACACACACACACACACACGACTGTGAGTTCCTTGAAAAGTAATGACTTTCCTTACTTCATCTTTCCTTTTCCACCATAAGGCAAAAACACTTAAATGGAATTAGATACTACGATTATTAATGAAGGAGTATAGAGAAAAAAGTTGGGATAGAGGGAGGGAGGAACCCAAAGACTTCTGAATCTTTCCAGTCCCCACCATTAGCAGTGGCCACCTATTCAGAGGAACATGTTGACAGCTAATGCTGAGTCTCACTGAAGGAATAACCAACTAGAGATATCTTCCCAGGGACCAACCTAATTTTCTGTTCATGAGTAAGGCAGCCACCTCAATGGTGTGGTTTCACAGAGTACCAAAGCAATCTTCAGTTTTATTTTATTTATTTTTTATATTTTATTATTTTTTATTTTATGTGTATGAGTATATTGTTTGAATGCAGGTAGGTACACCTATGATGTACAACACCCATGGAGGTCAGAAAAAGGCATTGGATCCCCTAGAACTGGAGTTACAGAAAGTTTTGGGTTTTTTTTTTTTTTTTTGGTCTTTTTGAAACAGGCTCTCCCTATAGCCCCAACTGTCCTGGAACTCACTATGTAGACCAGGCTGGCCTTGAACTCACAGAAATCCTCCTGCCTCTGCCTCCCAAGTGCTGGGATTAAAGGCGTGTGCCACCACACCCGGCCAGGAGTTACAGAAAGTTTGTAGGCTACACGTGGGTGCTGAGAATTGAACCTGGGTCCTCTGCAAGAGCAGCCAGTGCTCTTAATTGCTGAGCCGTCTCTTTAGTCTAAACCTTGAGTTTTAAAATTAAGAGTACCAGGGCTCAGTTCTCAAAGTGTTTGCCTAGAATGCACAAAACCTTGGGTTTGATCCCCAGCACTGTATACATCAGGCACGGTGATGCATGCCTGTAATCCTACCACTGGGAGGTGGAGGCAGGAGGATGAGAAGTTATAGGTCATTTTCAACTGCATTGCAAATTTGACCAGCCTGGGTTACATCAAAGATTATTTTAAAAATAGTATTATCACTCCCAATTTTACTACAAGGACTGAAATTCCTTCAGTTTAGCTCAGATATTTGATCACATTGTTAACAATAGTTATCAGGAATTAGGGATCATTAGGAAGGCTGATAGATTTGGAGTCTAAGATCTACTATATATATTTTTGTTACAATAATTTAAAGCAAAAATCTTCCAGAGATTTCTAAAGATAATATATACAAGAGAAAGGGTACCAAAAGAATCTGAGACCACCCTTAAATTTGCTAAGGGGTAGTATAAACCTTAATTGCTATGGCTCATAAAAACAAATCAATTTATACACAATTAAATTTATGATTAAAAATAATGACATGTTTTGTTTCCTAGTTCTAAAGTAATAAGAACTTTCCTTAGATGAGGTCACAAAATTGTCTTGAGTTTAGCACAAAAAGTTTCTATGGTGTCTCTTACCTACAAACAACTGGCTGTTCAGCTGCAGTCGGAAGTGGCCTTCTTCCGAGGTCTCCCTGGTACTCTTTGGAAGGTTGTCCACCTGGAGTGAGGTCTCCTTAAGGTTCCTCTCTGCCCGGACATAATGCCATTGGTTGTCATTCAGAGCAGTAGGAGCCTGGACTACAAGCTCTACAGGGCCATTCCCAACATCAATGGCGAACATGATCTCTGAAGGAGCTGTAATTAAAACAGAGAAAAAGGATAAAGGTGTCATCAATGTGTTAAGGCACAAACACATTCAGAATGAATTAGAAAGGGTTATAAGTTCCCCTCAATGTAGAGAAAGCGTCTTTGAAGTCCCTGGCACACTGGAATTATCGTTAACAATATCAACCAACATACAGGCTCCAAGTTCTCCCCCCTCAGTTGCTCCTGATTGTTGACTTCAGGTAGCAGGGACATGGAGCATTCATGCCTTTTGGTCTCTGCTGAAGCTCTGGGTTTCTTTGGTCTATCTTGATTTCATCTGTTTTTACTATAAACATGATGTTAGCTAAGCAGTTCTGTTCCTGCGGAGGGGAGACCCATGTTCTGAGAAGACCAGGGGCCTTTGGATGATAGCTAATCAATGCATGTGATAACATTCCTAATATTTCCATAGCTAAAAATGTGAAGATAAGGCTGGAGAGATAGCTCAGTGGTTAAGAGCACTTGCTGTTCTTACAGTGTACCAGATTCAGTTCCTAGATTAATATCAGGTGACTCATAAGCACCTGTACCTCCAATTGCAGGGGATCTGATACCCTTTTTTGGCCCACACAGGCACCTGCATACATGTTCATATACCCCTCCCCCATATTCATACACATGAAAATAAATCTTTAAAACAATAAAAAATATGAGTGAATGATTTCATCATCCAACATGGGCTAGGCTCAAGACTTTGGGAAGGGCCCAGAGGCAGTTGAAAGCTAGTTCTCACAACTAGAGTCATAGTTGTGTGTATTCTCATGGCCCTGGATGGGAAGCTGGGACCCTGTCATAGTGTTAGCTCTATTATGAACTTTCTCTCTAGTTTCTCCACCATCAAGTGTCTCCTGGAAGCATTTCCTCATGATCTGTTCTTTTAATGTTCAAGGTAAGGCTAACTGGCTTTCATCGACACAAGCCTTGTATTCTAGTCACAAGCAATTCATAGATAAATGGAACAAGGTGACCTCCCAGCTCTCCTTTGAGAATATTGCCAATGGAATCTCCTGTAGATATCTTGTTGGAATGCCTACTGAGTGATGTGAGGAGAGTAGAAGCAGCGCAGGGAGGCTTGCAAGGATTGTCCTTGTCTCAACAAGAAGAATGGATTGCTGGGCCTGTTAGAGAATCCCTTAGTGCACAACCGGAGCCTCATGAAGATGGAGCCTCACCTCACCCACACGTCCTCAACTCCCACCCCAGGTCAGGCATGAGAATATTACTCTACTGTCATCTCATTGCCCAGTGAGCAGGGGAGGAAGATGACTAGATTTATTTTTTAGATAAAGGGCCCATTTAATGTGATTGTAAGTCTTTAATGCAGCCAGTTATCCTCTCTGACCTTCCATGTACACATTTTTCAAATGAGAAATATGATATTAGTGAAAGTTGTTGAGGGTCTTTGGTGGCATGGTCCCTTGAGAAGGCAATAGCAGCTGTGGTTCTTAAATTTCACAGACACCTTTTGCACATTGCAGGAAATTCCTGAAATTCCTATGCCTAAGATCTGGAGGGAAATCATTCTATTTTCTCTTGACACCTCACATTCATGATTCCTCAATCTTTCATAATAAAGAAAGGAAATGCTGGAATGAGTAAAAATATAGTGTGTTCTGTGTCCATGTCTTCAGAGATGGCTGTACACCCTCCAGGCCATTATGAGGGGTAATACTGACTGTCACCTTGGAAGGATCTAGAATCACCATGGAGACAAACCTCTAGGCATATCAATGGTGGAGTTTCTAGATTAGGTTAATTGAAGTGGGAAGACTTACAGTAAATATGGATGGTATCCATTTTTTCCTGGGAGAGGAGAAAGTGGGCTGAGCACCAGCTTTCATCTCTCTTTGTTTCCTTACTACAGATACAAAGTCATCAGTGCTTCAAGTTCCTGCCAGCATGACTTCCTGCCATGGTAGAAAACTGTGAATGAAATACAAACCCTTCCTTCTCTTTTTCCTTTCTTTTTCCTTCTTTCCTTCCTTCCTTCCTTCCTTCCTTCCTTCCTTCCTTCCTTCCTTCCTTCCTTCCTTCCTTCCTTCCTTCCTTCCTTCCTTCCTCCCTCCCTCCCTCCCTCCCTTCCTTCCTTCCTTCCTTCCCTCCTTTCTCCTGTCAGGTATCCTGTTACAGTAACTTGAAAAGTAGCTCCTCTTCCTCACCTGCACTTTGGAAGATTTCTGAAGTAGCAGTAATCACAATAGTATACTGATGACCAGAGATAGGGTTGTTCTAATACAAAATGAAATAATCAAAAGAATTTAGTATAGTGCCTAACCAGAGTAATGGTTCATTAGTTCAGTGAAATTTAATGATTAGTAGTATTTTTAATATTTTTGTATACATTTGTGTGTATATACACCTGTACAGATATACATACTTACATACGATTTTTTCCATTGAAAAACAGAAAAATTATGGTTCCGTTTCTATTTAAATCACACTGAGATGGGTTACAGAGCTCATTTGAGTTAATATTACTAGACAGCTGTGGGGACCTAAAGGCCTCACCTTGCATATGTCTGAAAGGAAGTTACTGGGGGCGCGGCCTGGCTTGCTTTGAAAGTCTGAAGAATACTTTGGCACTGCTGATGATCAGTGTGTGACCATCCTTAATATACACCCTCGGGGTGTAACACCTGCAATAAATGAGTCCCTGCTTGACTAGACTCCCCATTGCGTCTGAGTGTCCCCGGGAATTAGGGGCGGTGTGGGCTGGTGAATGGCGTGCTTACTCATCCCCAATCATACCTCCTCAGGAGTTTCTGGTTCAAACCCCTTGCAACTGGCACCCAATGTGAGGCTCAAAGGAAGGTGAAAAGAAGAAAAGAAAGAAGAAAGAAAGAAGGGAAAAGGATTGGGGCCAATCAGAGGAAGTTTGGGGTAAGCAAGATGCTAAAAATGGGTAACGCAACTTTTAAGTTTGAAGACCTGGCACTTAAAGTGCTGAGAGATATGCTTAAAAGGAAGGGATTGGATTTTTCAAATCCCATAGCTCAAAAGGTTTGGGCAGAGGCAATTCATTTGGCTCCCTGGCTACTTGGGGCTAATGTTTTTACTGGGGATACATGCAAATCATGGGAAGGGTTTGAGGAAAAAGGAAAAAATACAACAGAAGTAAAACCAAAAGCTCCCAAAGTAACAAACGGTACCTCGGGCGTGCCCTGGCCAGCTTCAGAGCCTGCCAGGCAGAAGGGTGGGGTGGAGCGGAGCACACAGGGTTGGTGGCGAAAGCCGCCCACCCCACCTGCCTTGAACTAAGGAGTGAGCCGGTCAGGGGCCTGAGCAAAAGCCAGGCACATTTAAAACAAACAAAACAACAACAACAAAAAAACAAGACCTTTGGCTGTGTGCTGCAACTGGCTCTGGGAAGGCTGAAAAGGCCTAGGGGAAGGTGGCTCGGGGATGGGGCCCACCCCTTCCGTTTGGAGGATGGCCAGGGAACCATCCCACCCCCGAGTGCTACAGCCATGTGGGCAGCAGCACTCTCCAAATCCCAGGCCGAGGGAGCCCTTAGTAAAGCCTACAATGTTTTCACTGACTGGGACAGATGTGGAGAAACCAATTCAAGGAACCAGCTCAATTCAAGGAACTCATGGCCATTGTTTTCTGACAGTATTCAGACTCATAGGCTCCTTAAAGAGAGAGAAGCCCCTATCTTCTTACAGCATCTAAGGGGGCACTAAGGATTGCCTGGGCTTTTATCCTAAGGCAATGAAGAGGCAGACAAGAGAGGTACCACCTCTGCAACAGCCAGGGGTAAACCCCAGGGAACTCAAGCCCAATTCCTTGTGGCAGAAAGATGTCACACACTATGCACCTTTTGGAAAGGTTAAGTATATTTTTGTGTCCATCAACACAGTCTCACACTGTTTGGCTACCACTCATACAGGAGAGAAGTCTAAACCTGCTCAGTCTCATTTTCTCCAGTGCTTTGCTACTTTGGGATTTCCCCAATGAATCAAAACTGATAATGGACCATGTTTTGTGAATAAAAATTTACAAGATTTCTTTTCACTTTGGGGAATTCAACACAATACAGGAATTCCCTACAATCCCCAAGGTTAAGCCATTATAGAACGCAACCATCAAAACATAAAAATTCAATTACAAAAACAAAAAGGGGGAATGAGCCCCCACCAGCAGTTGGGTATAGTCTTATTCACTATTAATGTTCTTAATTTTCAAAAAATCAGTTGGAATCCCAGTTTCAGAAGCATTGGGGATGACAGGAGCAGGGACATGAGGTACGGATAAGATGGAAGGACCCCATTATGGGGCAATGGAAAAGAACAGATCTATTGCTAACCATGGGTTGAGGCTTTGGGTATGTCTACCCTACAGGAGATTCAAACCCCATATGGGTGCCTGCGAAAAACTTTAAGTGGGTAGGCCAGGATCCAACTGACTAGCATGACGGTTCATGGACAATAGTTCATGAGACAAAATTCCTCTCTTTATTTATTTCCATCTGAGATGAAAGACCCTGTTCCTTGGCTTCATTGCCAGTAAGACTCTTTGCCTTTCAGACAACTGGCTGATTGGCTAAAAGGTACATGATCTCAGAAGTATTTCAACTTGTCTTATGCCATGACTTGCTTGTTTCTCTTGATAATGCTTATCTTTAAGTGTATTTACCAGATAATTTGGTGACAGAGGACCCGGGGAGCTGCCACAGCCCACCTCCTCATGATTACTGACTCCCCCAGGACCCCCTCCAGTTGTCCACGCTTGGCTAACCTAGTTAGGCAGAGACTAAGACTCTCACGAGCTGGCATTACCCACGTGGCTGCCCTTAGTCATGATGCATTTTTAACCAAGGACGGGTAAGATGTCCCATGACAAACAGTCCTAAGACAGGACATGCACATGGCCAGGTGAATGGTCCAATGACAGGCAAGGCTTTGCTAAGACAGGCAAAAATGCATAAGATTAGAGGAAGGAGATAGCCATCTCTCCTCAGGGAGCCATCTATGAGGTGGGTAACCCGT